GCCACTTATGTCAGTATGCGATGTGGCTGCTTCTAAATGGTTATGGAACCTTCTTAAGCTTTGATCGTCCATGTTGATAAGGCTCGGCGTCAGCCCTACTTTTTCAGGCATAACAATATATATTTTTTTGTTTAGGGATTTTGCATTTTAGCAGCCCTCTGTCTTCTTAAAATTCATGAGTGCTTTAATGGGTGTGGAATGAAGTGGGGTTGCAATAGGAGTTGAATTATGGACACATTCAAAATTTTGTTGTCGTGTACACACAATAAAAATGATTAAAAATACAATTAAAATTTGAAGTACAAAAATAACTTATTTAAATACTCAAACAAAATATCAACAAATTAAACTAAATGATCATCTACCTTTTTTTGGTTTCTTCTTGCATTTTTCTAAATTACTTTTCAATCATACCTTTTGGTTATTACAATTGGCAAGTTCAATAATAATTGCTCATTGATTAGGGAAATATCACGATCAAAATATTAAATATTTTTCTTTGAATCTTTCAACATATAATCTCTACATCTTTCTCAATAAATTTTTATAACATATTTATCATCAGAATGGCTTGTATAAGCCAATATGTCAGATGTTGCTTCGTAGGATGACCTTTTGCCTTTTGGCTATGACCGTGCCTAACTAATGTTAATGTTAATATTCTTGCTTAATTGACCCTTTTTTTTTTTTTTTTTTTTTTTTTTTTTTTTTTTTTTTTTTTAATGATGCCTTTGCCTAATCGGCTTTTAAAATGATCATCTATGACATGATGATACCTTTACACCTAATTAGCTTTTTATCTAATCGTCTCTACGCCTAACTGGCTCTAATATGATCGTTTGATATGATCTCTTTTGCCTATTTGGCTCTAATACAACTTGTAATAAATTTCTTTTGGAACTCATCTCATTCTTTTCTTCTCACATATAAACTGACAAACGCACTTCTTTATATAGGAGTGAAACCCTAGTTCTATGCAAACTATGTCAATAGATTAGTAAATAAAGATGTGTGATGTCAATGCATCATGCACAATAGGTCAAGCAAATTGACACAAGAGTAAAGAGACCATGCCAGAAAAAAATTTGAGTGGGCGAGTCCACGAGCTTAAATCTTAGAGCTTGATTTAAGAGAGGTATTGTTGGAAATTAAGTCAAGCATATGACTTTTATTAAAAGTTTTACCTTGTTAGTTTATTCTATTATAGATAAAAGTGTGATACCAATGGATTGAGAAAATTATTAGGGGCATTGAAGTCTTTTTTTGTTAAACGTAGCAGTAAGTTGCCGTTAATTTGTTTCTTTTCTAAAGAATTCAAAACTTGTGTCTCTTTATATTGTTTCCTGAAAACCTTATACCTAAATTTATAATATCCATGTTTTTATTTACGTTTAATATATACTAATAACGTTTTATTATAATGAATCAAATATTAGTAATATTATTAAAATTAAAAAGAGAGAAAGTCCTACTCAACTCTTTCCTATTTCATTAAAAAACTAGTAATATTATATTATTATTTTCATTATCCAAATCGTTTAGCCGGAAGACTCCGCCATCGTCACCATTCCCAATGGTGTCGAAAATGTTGCCGAACGTGCTGTTGGAATCTCGTTAGCCATTTTCAAATTTTTTATTTCAAAATATCTATTATTAAATATTTAAATAATTTAATTTTAAATAATTATATTATATTTATCTTTATTAATTATAAATATAATCCAATGCCACACCAAACATGCGACAACATTAAGTTTATTCCATTTATATCCTATTCAATTCATTCCAGTCTAATATGAAAAAATTAGATCGGTGGCTACTCTTTATGGTACATTTGATTCAGGGAATATTGTATTAGTTGGAGGATGTATTTGGTTAAAGGGTATTTGACATTACTCCAATATTGTCATCTTATATTACTTACATTATTATGTTTTTTATTGTTAAGTAATAAAAGATTTCAGTAATACTCCAAAATCAATAATAATTAATGTTCATTATATAGGTGGTAATTTGAATACTATCATTTTCATAGGCATTCTAAGATTACTTGGTAATCTTAATTTTGTTACAATTTTACCCATAACTAATAAAAAATTTGGACAGTAATGCCTTTATTCTAAAAACAATTTACAAGAATATTTATAAACTATTTTATTCTTATACACAAGCTTTTTAGGACATTATTATCCTTGAACTTGAACCAAATTACCCAAGACAAATGGTCAGCTGTTGACCACCACTGTCGTGGCTTGAACTGGGCACGACTAATTGGATATGGCCGACTGTGTGTTAATCTAGTTGTTTTCAGCCAAACGAGAGGTTGGAAATAGCCAGATGGTAGTGGATCTGGTTGGAAATTGCTAGATCCATTCTGGCCATTTCCGACCAAATTTATAACCAGATTGATGCACGACCGGCTAAATCCGATTGGTCATGCACCATTCCGATGCTTAGCGGTGGTGGCCAGATCGGCCATCTATCTTGGTTAATTTTGTTCAAATTCAAGGGTATCCTAAAAATCTTGTGTATAAGGATAAAATAGCTAATGAATATTCTTGAAAATTGTTTTTAGAATAAAGACATTATTGTCCAAAATTTTTATTAGTTAGGGGTAAAATTGTAACAAAATTAAGATTACCAAATAATCTTAGAATACTTAAGAAAAAATATAGTATTCAGATTACCACATATATAACTAATAGTAATTACTATTGATTTTGGAGGATTACCAAAATCTTTTATTACTTAATAACCAAATATCGTAATGTAAGCAATATAAAATGATATTATTGAAGTAATGTCAAATACCCTCCAACCAAACACCCTTTAATGCATCATGAAAGTCTTAGGTCATCAAGCCTAGCGCTGACTCATTAGTTACCTTTTAGTTCCTAGGCTAGGTTAGGTTTGCTTTGGGCTTACAATTTACTTTATTTTGGGCCGCTCCCATTGTTGGTTGGGCTTTTCTTTACAACATGGGTTTCTTTACATATTTACCTCTGTTTTGATGCATTCATTCCCATTGCCCATAACAACAATAAAAACAGAAGAGTTTATTGAAAGCTAGGCAGAATCAAACTTTATCAGATTGAAAATTGAAAGTTTGAGTAGAATTAATTTGCCTTTATCGGTTAAAGTTTGAGCATGTCATTTGAGTTAAATTTAGATTGAATTTTATTAAAATAAATAATTTCTAAAATACTTCTAAAAACTTTAATATTTTCCAAATCATCAAGTCAAGAAAGGTATATCGAGTTTTATATAAAAAATTAATTAGGTACATTTAAAAAAAAAAAAAAAAAAGACCAAATAATCGTTATATTATACACACCCATTTTAAAGAGTACACATATTACTAAATTTTAGAAAGGATTTTTTTTATTATTATTATTATAATCTCCTGATTTAAACATTATTTTTAGTTTTAGTTATATTTATCATTCAATCAAGCATTAATCTTTTTAATTTTAGGTGAAAATAATAAAATTTATGTGAAGTAAGACTCTGAAAATTTTAAATTTAATTGTGAATTGACTTTTTTTTTTTTTTAATAAACGAGTGTTGAAAAATAATTTTAAATGTAAACATCCTGGAGTTGAAAATTTTAAATGATGCCATTATGTGATCTTGCCTCTTGTCAATTGAATTCCTGACTCTACCACTTGCTCTTGCAATGGCTCCATCTGTTATGTGATTTTGAAGGACTTTTGTAAGTGAATTAGAACAACAAAAAACGAGAGAAAATTTCCATTACCAAGGATGATTTTGAAATTAATGCGAAAATATTTTATAACAAGACTAATTAGAAAGTTAATGAGATTCAATACATATAATAACTCTATTTTCCTTCTTTTGCAGGTTTTTTTTTTTTTTTTTTTTTTTTTTTTTTTTTTTTTTTTTTTTAAACCATAGGTCAATCTATACCTCTTTATATGGGTTTCTCCTTCATATAAATATATGAGATAAAATGATAATGTTAGAATATATATATGACTTAGGATGAAAATTTCAATTATAAAGATATAAAAGACAAGAGTTAAAAGATGGAAAATTAAGATAAAATTTAAGAAATTAATATTTTTCATTGATCCCTTGTTTTAATTTTAGCTCAATGTTTACTCGTATTAAAAACAATGCTTTAAAACCCTGATCGGAGGGGACTCGACTAGTTGGTCAATTTTTGGTCTGAGTGGTCCAATCGATCAGACCAAGACGTCAGAAAAAACATATATATCGCTTGTCACCTCATTCCTCTTTCTTCTTCTCAATTCTCACTTGTCACCTTATCTTTTTTTTTTTCTCTCTCTTTCTCCCCGTCCTCTTCTCTTTCTTTCTTAACTTCTTCCATATTCTCTTCTCTTCTCACCGAATCATAAACTTGTTCACCCAAACCACAATCAAAGGCAAAATGCAAACCCAACCACAATCAAACCTCAATTATCCACCACCTAAAATGCAAACCCAAACCACAATCAAAGCTAAAAACCAAATTTCAGAACAAAACAATCATATCCCTTCACTACCATTACTGAGAAAACCAACAAAAATGAAACAAAAAATTAGAAGGAAGAAGAAGTGAAGAACGCGATCAAGGAGTATACAACAGCTAGTGGCCGACTAAGTGCAACAGTGATGATTGATTGAAGATGAACGAAGATGATGAACATAGATCAAAGAGGAATGGAGAATCAGTGATGATTGATGAAAGATGAGTGCAAATTGAAGAAACGAAGGCTAAAGCAAAAAAGTTAGGGATTTTGCATTTTAAAACACTCACATTTGGACTAGCGGTTTGATAGTATACCACTAGTCCAAAAGCGGTAAAAAATGGTTCAAATGAAAATACCGCGTTTTAATCCTTAATGAACTGGAGTTGTTGACGAAACCTAATCAGACTGGTTAGTTCGGTCTAGATTTCAGAACATTGATTAAAAGGACAAAGTTAAGTAACTGGAAAAAAAAAAAATGAGAACATATATTTTATTTCAACAACTTTATTATTTATTTACATGGCTATTCAACCAAACTTTTGTACATGCTAAAGCCTGTTTGAGGTCATCATGAAGAGAACTACAACGATAAATATCCTTAATTTCACCTAACAATGAATAATCTAAATAAGTACAAGTAGCAGACATAGGTATTGACAAGAAATCACGTGTAATCTTAGCTAATGTTGGATAAGTTGGAGAATTGACACACCACCATTGCAGTATATCAAACACTTCACCTCGAGGATGCTTAGAGTCTCTCAAATAGTGGTTGAGTTCTGATTCCGGTGTAGCAATATCATTGACATGTTGAGAAGATGCAAATGATCTCCCCATGATATCTAGCATTTTTGACGAAGTACTTGAAGAATTACCAGCACCATTGTTCGAAGATGATGATGATTTAGAATTGTTGGGGCCCTTCGCATATTTATTGAAAATATTAGTGACATCGTCAATAGTTTTCTTAAGGTATGTATCTTCATCATTACCATAAATCTCCTTGTAGAAATGTTCTACAATATCCATTTTGAGTCGTGGATCCAAAATTACTGTAATTACTAAAATCAAGTTAGAATTGTCCCAATATTTTCTAAAACATGATGCCATGCAATAGTAGAAATGATTTTCACTTTTTCCCAATTGAATCATTTTCGAAAAAATGTCACAAAACATTGGGAAATACACATTTGCAGTTTTATGTTTAGGATCTAACAAGTTACAAGCTTCTTTTCTCAAATCTTGTAACACTTTCCAACTGTTGTATAGTAAAGTTGCCTTGTCCCAATCGTCTTTAATAAAATTTATAGACTTGAAATCAGGATCTATATGCTCCAGTTCACAAAATGGTTTTTTGCATCCCATTACCCACTCAAGCAGATCGACATTGAACCACTTTGATAACCACTTTGATAAGGGAACACTTTTGGAAGTTACTGTTTTTCCCATGGACAGAGCTTTTTCTACTGCATATTGGAACTTATTTACATTTGATGACATCATGTAGTCCCAAAGCTTCAACGCTTTACTTGAAATATCATTTCGCGAAATTCTGTTCAATGCATTAAAATTGATATCATTATCAAATTCATTTAACAAACGAGAAATCGACCAAAAATACCCAATAAAAGGAAGTGAACCTCGTTCATTGAACCAGTTGTTAATATTCTCAATAAATTCCTCACTTTCTAATGCATCAAAATATCCTACTCTTTCCATAGAGCATAATTTTTTGTCTATGTGCCAATTTACAAGACAAGACTTCACAATTTCAAAGACAACTTCATCTTTGTATGTTCCCAATAAACTAATCATCTTTTTCAATCCCCAACTATCATCAATAAACCAGCATGTTAGGAACCATAAGCCCAACTTCTTTTGAATTGTTACATTAAAACGAGATGGGAGTTTATGTAAATATCTATGAAGCTTATCCTTCTCTTGCATGTAAACATCAATGTTAAAATGGAAGCCTGAAACAACGTTGTTTTGGGTAAAGAAGTACGGCGTCGTTTTAGACAAAGCAACCAGAATGAATCTAGGCCGCAGGATGCACTCCAGATCTAACGGCCAGAATCAGTCTCTTAGTCAACCATATATAAACTCGTCTTTTGCGCAGAATCATGTAACACACTGCTAGGGTTTTTCCGTTGTGCAATTTCTGAGTTAGGGTTATGAGTTCTTTGCAAATTGTTTGTATAATCGGTTCGAGTGGTTAAGGAGATTAATCATTTGGGTGAGAGTGTTTGTTCTCTCGGGTTAGGGATACTTAGTGGGTATCTTGTTAGGCTGATTGCAGTTTACATTTGTATAGATCTGGTGATAGTCGAATCTATGTAATCTTGATTGTTCTTGATAATAGAAAGTGCAGCGAGCTCATACTGTTCCTCAGCTCAATGTGGATGTAGCTTATCCATAAACGGATAAGTGAACCACGGTAATTTCTATGTTGTGTTGTGATTGTGTTTTAGGATCTAAGTTTGTGTGATTGCATAACAGTGGTATCAGAGCCATTTCTTGGAGTCTAGATCGGGTGTTTAACGAGTCGTTGTCCCGATAGAAGAAGATTTTACAAAAATTAGGGTTTTGCGAATTTGGGGTTTTTTTTTGCAAAATTAGGGTTTCGTGAGATTAGGGTTTCGAGAAATTGGAGGTTTTCGAATCAGTGATTCCTTTGAGTCTCCAATTGGATCTAGGGAGTCAAATCTTGACAAATCTTAGGAAAAATAATAGGATTATAGAAATCGCACAAAGTCAGGGGAAGAGAAACTAGGGTTTCAGTTTGGGTTTTTTTTTTTTTTTTTCACAAAATTAATCGAAAATGACCACAAACACCACCACACGACTAGAAATAAACCAATACAATGGAAAGATCGATTTCAGGAGTTGGAAGAAGAAGATGAAAGCTCTTCTCTCACATAACAAGGTTGCAATCGCACTGAAAAAGGATCCCAAGAAATGGTCAGAGGAAAGACTGAAGAAGAAGGAAGAGATTGACGAAGAAGCATATAACTTGATCGTGATGAATCTCTCGGACAGTGTTCTTCGGAAGGTAGATGGATTCAAAACTCCTCTTAGTTTATGGGGTAAATTAGAATCTTTATATGCCTTACAGTCTAAACCTAATTTGGCTTTCTTAAAGGGAGCCTTATTCTCTTATAAAATGGATAATTCGAAGTCTATTGAGGAAAATTTAGATGAATTTCTTAAGATGAATCTAATTTTGAAAGGCACAGACCAAGAACTAGGATAGACAAGTCTTGCCATGATATTGCTAAACTCTTTAACTGAAGACTACCAAGTAGTTAAGAATGCTCTTCAGTACTCCGGTACTGTACTCAGTGTTGACTTGATAGTTGCTGGGCTTAAGGCTAGGGAATTAGAGCTTAAAACCCTTAAGAGGAACAATAGCACTCTGTTTGTGAAGGGTAGATTAGAACTTGGTTAGTCTAGTAAAGGATTTCAACCTAGTCAAGGGGCAAGAATAAGAAGAAATGGAAGGGAAACAATAAAACCAAAACAGAAACTAGGAAGTGTTACTACTGTAACAAGATAGGCCATCTAAAGAAAAATTGTTTTGACTGGAAGAAGAAACAGAAACTAGAAAATACAGAGAACAACCTAGCCACCACTAGTAACCAAATGGATGAACCAGAAGTCCTAACAGTGTCAATATCTGACACTACAAAGGAACGGGTTTTAGATTCTAGCTGTACTTTCCATATGAGCCCTAATAGGAGTTGGTTCCAAGATTTTGAGGATTCTGATCATGAGACTGTGTACATGGGGAACAACCAAGCATGTAGAGTTAAAGGAGTTGGCTGCATAACCCTTAGATTAAGTGGGGGAAAACTGATCATGTTAACCAAAGTCAAGTATATCCCTGACTGAAAGAGAAACCTCATATCTCTAAGCACCCTGGATGAAGCAGGCTGCTGCTATAAGGCAAATAGTGGGTGGTTGAATGTTTATAAGAATGAAAACCTTATGTTGACAGGAGAAAAGAAAAATGGACTCTATATACTTTGTGGTAGCTTATATTCTGATTGTAACAACACAACTCTTGGGTCTCCAAATTTATCAGTACTGAAAAGTAGCATTTGAGGTTAGGCCATATGAGTTAGAAGGGAATGGATGTTCTAAATAGGCTAGGACAGTTTGGCTAGGATAGTTTGGGAAAGATACTATCACTAGTTTAGAATTCTATGAAAATTGTGTGCTTGGTAAATAGCACAGGAATAGTTTTCCTGAGGGAGTTCATCTAGCAAACAACTGTTTGGATTATCTACATTCTGATTTATGGGGGCCAGAAAAGGTTAAATCTCATGGTGGAAACAATTATTTTCTCTCAATCGTAGATGACTACAGTAGGAAGGTCTGGGTATTCTTACTTAGGTTAAAAGATCAAGCCCTAGCAAAGTTTAGAGACTAGAAAACTTTAGTTGAAAACCAGTCTAGTAGAAAGGTCAAAGCCCTTAAGACTGACAATGGGCTTGAGTTCTGTAATCTGGAGTTTGATAAGTTCTGTAGTGAACAGGGGATCTTGAGGCATAGGACAGTCGGAAATACCCCTCAGCAAAATGGGGTTACTGAGAGAATGAATAGGACACTCCTAGACAAAGTTAGGTGTCTACTGATCACTTCAAACCTCTCGAAAACATTCTAGGGAGAGCCACTCTCCACAGCTGCCTATTTAGGGAATAGGAGCCCCTCTACAACAATAGGTCCAATTAGTCCAGAAGAGAGATGGTCTGGAAGAAGACCAGAACTAGGGCATCTAAGAGTGTTTGGCTGTGCAGCATATGCACACACAGTGGGGGGAAAACTGGAACCAAGATCAACGAGGTGTGTGTTTGTTAGACCAGTCGTCACAGTCACAAAATTAAACCTAAATACCGTAGTTAGCGGTAAGCAGGGTCGAATCCACAGAGAGCAAGACTAATGACCTAATGTATATTTGAGTTAACGAAAGAGAAATTGACAGAATGATTAATTAAAACTAAAGAAACTAATTACTTGCAGGAAATTAAAAAGCATTAAATAAATTGCTAACTAAAACACAATATTAAAAGCGTTGTCGCTATGGGTTCGGTTTGACTCAAGACCAACTCTCACAATTCCTCTCCTCGCTCTTCAATTTCCTAATCCTACAAGGCTAGGCAAATCAATAGAAATATCTCCCGGCAATCTAGGCATAATCTATCCTGTCTCCCCGTCGTCTTAGTTACAGATCGATTGGTTAAAGACTATCATTGACTAACCGAAAAATGCTAAACCCTTAAACACCACTAGTTGGTACAACGTTAACAAGTACAACCTATCAACCTGTATCATCCAATCAACTAATTACACAATAAATGCATTCCTAGTAGAGATGATATTAAACGCTACTACAACTTGATTGCAATCAGTACCGAAGCAATTTAAAGTCATAATCAACATTCAATAATCTCAACCAACATTCAATTATGCGAAAAGTTATATATCAATAAACGTTTTCAATGGACATTATCAATTCAACACGTCGAGCATCAGAATAATATTAAAGTATCGCAAACAAACTGAAACGAAAACAAATATAATCTGAATACAAGAAACTTAACCAAATATCCAACATTCGGGCTCATCCAACTAGTCGAGAGCTGATGAGGAGATCAGTGGAGTCAATCTCGATCTCGCTTACACCGTAACGGACAACTGGGAACTCAGCCGCTCATGGTGGTGATGACGGAGGCTGAAACAGTGGAAACAGAGCTGATCATGGCGAAGAAGAGGTAACCGACAGCGATATCATGCGAAGAAGGGTCGAAAACGACCAACGGACCGCCTGGAATACGAACAGTCACGGTTCGCCGGAAAACGTTAATTTTTCGGCGGGTCTCCGAAAAACGGTGGCGGAAATGGGATCCGAGGATACCGATGGAAAGCTCTGGTGATGGGGAGTTTAGATCAGGTCCTGGGGAGGTGAGAAGTCGCCGGAAATGAGCAAGATCTGGCCTGGAAGATGAAGAGGCGCGACGGCAAAACCGCGGATTCCGGCGGTTTTCGCGGCGGCTGAAGCTTGGTTATGCTAGATCCGGCTATGGGGAATGAAGATCTACCCTTGGGGAGCTGGAACGTCACCGGAAAATGGCCAAAACTGGCCGGGAAGACGAAACGTCGCGATAGGAATATGAAGCGTCGCGGTGGGTGCGTGTTTCACGGTGGCGGCTTGCGGTGGCTGATGATGGATCGGTGCAAGGGGAGATGAATCATCGCCGGAGAAGACAAAGGGTCGCCGGAGGGAGACGAAGGGTCATCGGAAAACTGGGTGAACAGCCTCCCCTGGAAAACGCGATCTGCACTTTTGTTTTATAGAACAATTTGTAAAATATCAGTATAGTCCCTACACAATTGAAAAGTGACAAAATCAACCCCTTAAAACATGACATTTTACCCCCTAAATAGCATAAATGAGAAAAAATCACCCTTAATCCATAAACCACAACCCAATATCAGCTCATATATTTTCCAAAATCATTCCAAACACGTTAAATTCATAAGAAAAATATTAGGAAGCGATTCTCGTTAATAAATTCATAAATTCTTTAATTGTCTCAATATACTTCAATTTAATCACAAATGAGGTATTTTTATCACCAAAATAGAGTCACTTTCATGACTCTAACAGTGTTCCTTAGATATCCTAAGGGCACAAAAGGGTACAGGCTGTGGGATAG